GGCCTAACTTTGGCTCTTGCCCTTCCCCCCTCCAAACAGCTCCCCCCTCGCTCTGCTGCTAAGCGCTTGCGAGAACGCATTGAGTGCTAAGCTCGGTGCCGGCAGCGCTCCAGCCGCTCAGCTCTTGAGCAGCCTTGTTGATTCCAATGACTGGGCACTCAGGAAGGAAAGGATCGCCTAGGCTGGAGCCAAGCTGGTGAAGTGGCTGAGCTGGTGGCAAAATCCTGGAGTACGGCCTGTTCTGGTGCAAGATGGTCCTATCCATCCAAGGGCAAAACAACATACACCTCATCATGCAACTGAGATGGCATGGCCCCTTGGATGACTATGTTCCGAACACCAAACAGGTGGTAAATTCAGTGAACTCTGATAATTTTCATGGGCCGGAAAGTTTCAACATTATCTAATTCATGTTGATTCCGGGTGAGCCCCCAGCGACTACACAGCTGGACAGCTTGAGAGTGATAAAGTAGCCCAGCCATACGACACTCAATCTATATGCTTGCAGCCCAGGCTCAAAGCAGAACTGGATGGCTCAACTGATCCAAAGACTTCCAAATGGCTGCATCCAAATCTTCTTTTCGGCAAAGGGTGTCCTTACATCAGATGTCAGCTGGGTACATCGACTCGATGTCAGCTGGTGGGTTTGACGCTCGTGGGTACACGCAGTTCTTGGCCGAGCCGTCTGGACCCGCGACCTGCGAACGAACCATCGCCTTGGTACTCCCTGAGGATGCCTCAAGTCAAGATGCAGTCTGCTGGAAAATGCCTGTAGGCTCTGCTATCCATTGTGCCGCTGACTCCTGCGAATGAACCAACCAGTCCTCTTCTTTCCCCACATGCACAATGGGTCACTTGGGTCACTTCTCCCGAAGGATACTTGCCATCCCCCACAAATCTGATTGAAACCTCCCAGTCCCAGTCCAAGCCATGTCCTCGCTGACCCAAGACGACTCCATGCCCTCAGCCTCTGCCTGACCAGGTCCATTAGCAAAGATGTTGGGCTCTCCAAGATGTCAAAAGAATTCTGCTATTCTTTAGTCTTTTGGACTGGTTGTTTTGTGCTTTTTTCTTGGCATCCTTCTGCTGTTTCACTTTCAGATGGCTTCGACCGCTCGTATTATTCTATGCAAGTTACGGGGTGATGTGTCTTCTCTTTCGCACCAAGGTGTGGCCCCGTGGCCGCTGTCTCGGTTTCACAACGATGATGATGCACGTGTCCCTTCTGCACCCAAATCCAACGCTTCAGCATCAATTCCCACACAGCATCCCATGTAACGCCCTCGCGCCCCATGTGCCATCCGTGTGCCATGCGTTGTCGCGTTTGAAGGTGGCCGGCGCCGACCTTCTCTTTAAGCTTGAGAGCTGTCATGGTCCACCATTCAGCGTTGGAGAGCCCATAGCGCATGTCTTTCCCCAGGTGATGCTGCCATCCTCGGAAATCGAATGGCAATCCATGAGGGCAAAGGCAATCCATGCGGTCCAAGAAGAGTGTCTAGAAGATTATCCATGACGCATTGAATCGAATTCAAAACAGCATGGTGGACAATGATCTAATGCTGTGGTCGCCCGACGCTTCCTCTTGTAGCAAGCAGCTTTAAGGCGTTCCTTCAAGACAACCAGGGTTCCCATTAGTGAGGCTGCAGAGGAAATGGACATGATCCTGCAACAAAAACAAACCATTGCGATCGTGTAACTCCTGGAGTTGTCAACTCGGAACTTGAAACCGCATGCTTCTTGCATGCCTGAGTTCCAAGAATAAATCTGAAGCCACCCACGATCACCATGCCTGGGCTGCTGCGACAATTGTTCCACAATGTTCCAACTGGATTTGTCGCAGTCCTTCGAAAAAATACACCTCATTCTTTACCTGCCCTGACCCACAGGGATCACAATGGACCTGCCTATGAGGAAAGATCTTGGCAATCCGTTTCTATGCCTATCTTACACACCATCACATATTAAAAGAAGAAAAATCATTGATGCTCAATAGCTCACTGCCGTGGTGCGGATGCTTACTCGCTTAATGAATTTCTGATCAGGTGATGCTGACATCACCGTCTCGAAGTTGGTGTCGAAGGGGAAGCCATGGGCCTCAGCATTCTGCCAAAACCATCCACTCAAAAAATACGTCTTTTTTGGATGATTGAAAAGTCAAAGTAGTCTCTTACTTTTGGGGATTTGCTTTTCACTGTTTTTGGAAGCAAATCCCCAACAGTCAAAGTAATTTTTCTGCGCCTAGAAAAAAGAAGCCCCTCATAATCACGAAGCCCACCTGAAGCTAAAGGGATCATCATGCATCTGAAAAATGATCATCGGCCGTCATTGATGTCTAAAATATCTTCCGCCCAGACTAGCCGAAGTGAGTTTCGAAAGGAACATTCCCCCCCAAAAGCAAATCTTGACATGCCCTTCGAAAGAGTTTGCACTACCAAGACCACCCACTTGGAACCCTCAGAAAGAGAAGCCCCCCCGTTCATTGCAAGCTGGTGCAACAGTGTCCAGGAGGTCGGCGGAACCCCTACTCTCTCCGAGTCACTAAAGCGGAACGGATTCCAACCCGCACAGAGCCCGGTAGAGAGGTCAGGTGCGTCGGATCCTCAGGACCGCGCTCATGTCTGCCACCATCGGACTGGACAGCATCCGGACACCCACGGAACGGTCGGCACGTGAGCTCGTCCGATGCCTGGTGAGCAGTGTGCTCGTCCGTGGTTGTGGAACCTGAGCCTGTCCACTGCGAGCTGTGTCCTACGGGCTCGCTTTTGAAAGCCATGGAATGCCGCAACAAGAAACGCAGGAACACGCCAGACACGGGCACTAAGACGGGCACCAAAACCCGGTTGTTCTTGTTGAGAAGAAAGTCTCGAGGGCAGTTTTGATTCTCCACATAGTGGTCCTGGCCAGAGGCGATTCGCATAGAGCGACATGGCGCACTGACACACCCTGTCACTTACACCCCCTCTCCCTCACAAGCCAACAAATTGACAAACCTGTGCGCTCCTCTGCTGTTTGACTTTCGCAGTGGCTCCAACATAGATAGAGAAACCAATGGCCCCTAAAACTCTCTTCACAACGTATTGAAAACATTAGGAAACATTGGTATCCACTCCAGATACGTTTCTGCCCAGCGGCGTTCATCGCCACACACTTGATCTCCTCCGTTTGCCAGTCATTTGCGATGGCCTCAGATGTGACCGTACCGTCGATCGACATCTGTCGCTGGACATCTGTCGCTGCTTCAAGCAGCGGATTTCACCGATCCTGCCACGGCGCCGGGAAGGGCAAGGCTTCAATCAGGTCCTTGATGACTTGAGTGGCTTTGAGGTGCGCCTCGATATGCCAACGAGATGCCAACGCCCGGAAGTTTGGGGATCTAGGCTGCTAGCACGGTAGCTAGTGTGACGTACCGTTGCCGACGGTACGTGCGATATCCATCCACGGGTTACCCGTTCAGCTCCGGAAACGAAGCAGAAGGATCAGGGATGTTTGCAGAGTGATCTCACATGCATGGGAAAGCTTCCAAATCCCCAGATCCTTCCAGGGCGATGAGCTGGGGACCCCCTGGCATCGACGACCTTGACGGTGCGGGCCTGCTCAGGCCCCTGAGGGCTAGCTGAGGACGTTCATGCGCTCCATGTCAGCCAAGGCATACGTACACTCCAACAAGGGGATGGTGCTGACAACTCGTCATGCAGCTTTTTACATGCATGTTTGTACTATAGTTTGTTGGTTTTATGTCGTGCCCCCGAAAGATCAACCCAGCAGCTTCCCCATCAAGCTACTAGCATTGTCAAGTTGCAGACTTTGTCAGGGTCAGCCGGAGGGCCAGGCTGAAGTTAATAGAGCATACTTACTTTGCCTAAGGGTCCCAGTCTCATAGGATACTGGATGTCCCAATCACGAAGCTCTGTTGTGTACACTTTCTTCATGGAATCCTTGTTAAATAAAGACCCCAGGTCAACAAACGGCGTAGGGCCCAGCTTATGGCCTCACTCGCGGCCCAAATCACGAGCCATAGGGAAATGGAACCAGCAGAATGTCGAATACCACCAGGGGTCACAAAGGGGTGGTGTTTGGTCCCTAAGTAATGGACACCCCTAACCTCCAATAGGTACCCGGCAGTTGATCTTTTCAAGAGCTGCTTCTTCGTGCACACCCAACCATCCATCTGTCGGAGGTCCACCTTGGTCCCCAAAACCCGTCCAGGCACTGGATCAGCGAGCTCGCTATCATCCCGGTAGCCTGAGTGTGGCACACATGGCACAGGTGGCTGACCGTGCTCGGCGCACAGTTTCCTAGGTCTGCCCTCCCAGAGATGAAGAAAAAGGTTCAAGTGGATTAGTGACAAGGGGTTGGGCCCTGTTTATGGGCAACAGGATGCCCCTGGTTCCGAATTGTCCCTCCTGAGCAAAAGCTAGATTGGGAAAATTGGATGGGAAATCCGCTCTAATTGAAATGAGTGGATTCTGCACCCCACACACGGGGGAGGCTGGAAGCAGTTCTTTCCTGTCCATTAAGTTGAGGAGAAAAGGGAAAAAAACTTGACGTCTTTCTAAGCTTTCACGTTCTTTTGATGTCCAGTTTTGTTGTCAAGAGCCGAAGGTAGGAAAATTGAGTCTATCACTGCAATTGGTTTCACAGGTTTTCCTGGTGCCCCCAACGCCTTTGCAAATGCCAAGACGCCTTCTGCCATGTTGCGGTGCCAAATTGCTGGAATAGCAGCCAAATGCTCTCGCAGTGCAATTCATGCTGATTAGGAACAGGTATGGACCCCACCACTGGTTCGCAGTGCAAACCCTTGCGAAAAAGAATGCAAAAATATATATCATCAGCAACCCCTGTTCCGATTGTTCCTATTGCTCCTCCTCTTCCTCCAGCCTTATGACTCTTCCGCCAACGCGCAGGAAACACCAAGGTCTGGCCAAGCCCAGTCCTGCCTTGAGGCCCATCCAGGCCCATGCAGGGCCCTGCACCCTTGAGGCACCCTTGAGGCACCCTGCAACCGCAGAATCCAAGCACGTTCGGGCGACATCAAAGGCAAGCCAATGCTCATGACCTCACCAGCGCGGTGTTTCTTTCTTGTTGCCGCGAGGTGAAGGTTCATGGGCGCAGGGAAGGTTCATGCGCGGAGGAAGTAGAGGAAGGCCTTGCCCAAAAAAGGTGGCTTGAGCATTTTTTTACGCAGGTCCAAACTCGCGGGGCGTGCTTAGCAGGTCGCCAAGCAGCTTCCTCTGAGGCTAGAAATGCGATTGGGGGCCGGCTCCTCTACACCGGTCACCAGCACAGAGTTACATTTCAGCCGACAAAATGCCGTCAAATCCAGGCTCCAGAGCTTCAAGCGGAAACACGTGCGATCAACGAAGCTGTCTGGAGGGGAAAAAGAATGTGATGGAAAAATAGACAGAAGGCTGCAATCGGTCGCCACAAAAAAAGGGTCATTCTGACGCAGCGTGGCTGCGAAAAAAATTGAAAACGCACTCACACGGCTGTCAGTGGCATTGTTAAAGCAGCTTTGTTTGTGCACATCAATTGTCAAAGTAAAGAGGGGCAACTTGGCTGAGTTGGCAACATCTCTCACCTTGAGCTGCGACAGCTCCGCTGGCACATCTAGCCTAAGCCCAGCATCAGTGCTGATGTCAGCTGATCACCCTTGATTGGCACATATTGAAAAAATGAACATGTAAGACAAACAGAGTTTTCCAACCGTCCTCGTTTGGAAGATTTCCACTCCAAGTTCCCTCACGCACATGTGTGCCGAGCCATCTCGTCGAGGCTGCGCCACTTTGGCTCCTTCAGCAAGTGAAGTAGAAGCAACATGCCAGGCAAATGCAAGCACGGTGAGGCAAGATGCAGATTTTATGAGAACATAAGTGCCTAAGAATCAAGGCCCTCAAAGCGGTAAACCCCTGCTATGCAGGGTCAAAATACCCTCCACAGGATTCCACAGGAAGGGCCCAATGATGCTTCAGGCCAGCGGTCTCTTATTGGATTTGCGGATTCCAGGAAACCGGGCAAACGATAAAATGGCCCCAGTTTCAGGGGACCGAACATAGATTCACCCGCCGGCTGGGGAAAATACACACCTGATCAGCCTTGGTCAACCACAAAGCTATGCAGTCCAGCGTGAACCTCCAACAAGCAAGGGCCGCAGTTGACATCCAAGGTGCTTGAAGAAGAATCAGAGATGTTTTTTCCTCGGGATAAATGCTGATGTCAAAGGTCTCGTAAAGCTCAGAACCGAGTGAACCTTGTGTCCCATGGCGGGCCTCAGCCCCAAAGCATTGGAGGTTTGACTGCCCCTTATGCACCGCGGGGTTCTGAGGAGTGTTCACGAACTGCGTCAGCAAGTCTGCGCGTATAGCCACTGTGCCTCTCCTGCGGGCCATGCTCTGGCACGGAAAAATCATATCGCCCCAGCCATGCCAAGTGCCTCGCACGCCAAAACGCAGGGCGATGCTTGGTGCAAAAGCAAACCATGTCCCTCTGGTTCCAATCGCCAAACAAATGTCCTTCTGGTCCTCTGGTTCGGATCTTCGTTCACTTCGCACCCCCGTGGTGGCTGCTCTTGAGCTGAACCTCTGGGTGCCTGACACACCCGTTGAAGCGAAGCGCTCCTCTCTCTGGGCAACGAAGTCTTTTGAGGCCACATTCAAACTTGTACAGTATCCCACTATCTCTTCCTTTTTCGGGCGCTATCAATGGTCTTTGCTTGGGGTGTGTCCAATAGCAGGGCGCTGGCCTTGCCACCACTTGCCAAGGGCAAGCAACTCCTGTTTGCACCTGCACTTCCTAGTCTATGCATTCTATACTAGCAATAGGGCCACAAAGCCCTCGGTCCATCAGGGAAGCAAAAACACGCCCAGCCGGCCTCAGTCAAGGTTGAAATGGAGTGTGGACAAGCTCTGGCAACACTTTTCGTGGTTTACAATCACGTCCCTCGAGGTTTACCTCGCATCTTTAAGAACTGGCGCCTTAAAAAAAGAGGAAAAAACACTAGCAACCAATGCTGTCGCGTCAAAGGCAGACATTTGTTGTGTATTGTTGGGTTGAGTCCTGAGTCGTCTGGCTTGGCTCGGGCGCCTCCGTCCCAACAAGCAACATGGAAATGGAAAATGCCATAGGACCAGGAACGTATTTCACTTTGGCTGTAGTTCAAGGAGTCTCTAAACACAATGTTCGTCTCTCGTCGTCCCACCCATGCAACTTGTTTTCCAAGTTTGCCCTCCAACAGCAAACAGTGAAGACACATCAACATCCAATGCAACAATGGTCATACCGGACTGGAGCAAGCTACATTCTCACACAGGGTGAACCCTTCTAGCTCAACACCCATGGCAAAAGTAGGGCGTGTTTTTCTCTTGCCTCCTCATCCAACGAACGATTTGTCGTCCCTGAAAGAGAGCGCACCAAATTCACTCAGGCGCCCTGGCAAATGCCAAAAAGCACTCCGCAAGACCAGCAGCGTTGGTTTTTGGGGTGGATCCTGACGAAGCGGCAGAAGCGCAGTTGAGTTGACCAAAACAAGCATTGGAATAAGTTTGATGAAGGCAGGTATGTGAACATGTCAGCTTACTACTTGGTAGAAGGAGAAGGTACATGAAACTATTCAACGATTGGAAATATCCGCATCAGGTGAGAAATCATAGTTGCCGCGGCAACCACATTGTGTACTGAAGCCTCCAAACGCAAAAACTCCAAAAATGCGACGACACCTAAACGCAAATGTCATCTGCCCGTGTTGTCTTTATCATCCGCGCAGCTAGGGCACGTGATCAAACCAACAAGAATGACAAAACAAACAAAAAGAAATCCAGCCGCATTCTCTCAAGTGTTTGATTAAAAAATGCGGCTGGCAGGCAGCTAGGCAATTGATCAAATATCTGCTCACCGCACTCGCGAAGAGGGTGCGCAAGTTTCATCAATCCAATGCAACTCATGTCCGGGCTCAGCCCAGCACATATGTAGCCCCAGTGTGGTAAGTCCCAGCAAGCGGCACGAAGGGGATCCTGACCCCCATCTGCCACCACCTCAAACACAACGGCTTTGGATGCCCTAAAAACACTAAAGGTCCATTGGGCAATGTGTTTCAATGCTTTTCTGGGCCGACCGCATCTGGACAGACAGAAGCTCCTAGAACAACCAGTCTTCCCCACTTTCACCTCTCCTGCATTCCCCTAAGCACCCTCCTGCTTTGGAAATAAAATACAAGTTCTTCTCTGCCTGAGAGGCTGCGAAAATATCCTTGTCCACTGACTGCCTTGGCCGGCGTGCAGCCAAGGATTTTGTAGAAACTGAAGAATGCAAAGCCTGGAAATCCCACAAATCCAAAAAAAAGTGCCTTATGGCACTTGTTTTGCACATTTGTTCTTGCTTGGAGAAACTGAAGATGTGGTCGCTACTTGCTGGGCGCTGGCCTGTTCATTAGCTGGTCGGTTGACCCAAATCAGCGTATTTCGCGCACTGTTGCACCTGTAGCTGCTAGGTTTGTTGTCACGCTCAATTACTTATCCCAGGTGGAGCTGCGAGATGAACATATATTACATAGTGGGGACCTGAGTTGCCCAAAAGAAGCGCCTGATACATTTGCTCCAAGCCAAAACGATCTCAGTCCACTGCAGTTCACGATGACGCTACCATGCAGAATTTGCTCCAGGCCAGTAAGGATGGGTGGGCACACAAGGGTTCAAGAGGCTGATGCGTATTTCATCCCCGAGAGGTTTGGGCGAACAGTTTGTAAGGGGACCAGGCTTGGAGTTTACAAAAAGCTCTGACCCAAGCTGCTTTGCCATCTGCAAAGTGGCATGTGCCAGAGTGGGCTTGTACAAAATGATGATGCCTCAAGATTACTATCTTATGCGTAGCCAGCCATACAGCAAAGTGATTTCTCCACAAAAATCGGGTTGTGTAGCACTGTAGGTGCAAAAAAAACGCCTCGTTACAAAATGGCCCCTCCAGAAGGGCCTCAAGCTCTCCCTTTTTTTGTGGAGAAAATTTCAACGGGGATGAACCTTCACCGTGTACTCAAGACTTGCCATGATGACCATTCCATTGAAATTGGGCAAGCACTACACTCTTGTTGGCATCAAACTATGCAGGCCTATTTCCAAGCAGGACATGCCCACATCGCGCTAGCACACCGACCACCAAAGGTGGAAGTCCTCGAGCATCTCTAAGCCTTGGCAGCAGGAACAGGGCGCTTGATGTTTTAGATGTTTCCTTCAAAAGGTTCTGATGGGGACAGCCCACCGTCTGGCCAAGCTGCGCCAAATGTCCGGCACATCCGCCAAGAATGCCATTCCAAGCCTCCGCGCAGCTGGGGAAGGCGCTCGTCTCACGCACATCCCGCAGCAATCTCCTTTTGGATCCTGCGGATTGTATTTTCTGTGACTGGGAACTGCTAGACTGTTTCCTGCGCAATTCGGTCGGGCAGGTCGAGTTTTGAGGACCCACACAGGTATATATTATGCACTTGCAAGCTCCTTTTGTGAACCAATAGTTCTGTTTTGAAGCCCGAGATCCGCGCACGTGCAAAGCTGGCCCGACGTCCTGGCTCGTTCGGCTCAACGCAACATATCTTCAGTTGACGAACCTCTTAACGACGCCAAAAAATGACTTGTTGCAAGACCTGCAATTTGTTTCGCATACCCCGACCTTAGCTTCAGATGTTGCTGCTCTGACTCCATTCAAAGTTCCATAACTCAGCCAGAACAACGCCCTCCAAGCAGCACACGCCGCAACAACCAACAAAAGACCGCCAGGTTTGTGCAAAGAAGAAAGTCAGGTCTTGAAGCTCTTGGATGCCTCAAAGTCGATAAACAAACTGGCATTTTCTCTTGTCAAGAACTTTGCCACCAACAAGCACCAAAGTCAAAACAAGTTTGGCATTCCTGCTGCTGTAATGGCTCACTAAGAGCTGCACGGGTGTTCTGACAAAGCAGCACCTCACAAACTGAAGCACCTGTTGCTTGCCAAATGGTTGGGACACAAGTAAGCGCCAAACGCAAGGCCTCAGCTTCATCATCTGGTGTTCCTGCAGGCGATCTCTCAAAGACAGAACGAACTCAAGTTCAAGCTGCACCTAGTGGGCGACCAGTCCATTTCTGAACGAAACTTTGGCTTGCATCCATCCTGAAACAATCCAACGCGGCCACTTTTGCCCTCGTCACAAAAGAACGGGCACAAAGGATCGAACTAAGGCATGCTCGAACATCCACCGGGGACACTCCCACCTCGATGCGTGAAAGTTAGCACAAGAGTGCAAGCTTGGCACTCTGAGGAGTGGGCATAAGTAATGGCCTGCCAAGTGGGTAAATAGTTTGCCCACAAATTGATTGGTCCGCGCAACCAGCTCCTTTTTTCACGCAATTTTTGTCAAAGACGGGAAGGCAGAGTGATGGGGCCACAGCGAAACCGCGCATCAACCAGCCAGTCGTTGACAATCCCGAGGGTCAGGCCCCACAGAATGAAGTGGCTCCGCGCACTGGCCTGCACAGTGGTTCTGTCCCTGAAATGTGACTATTAAATAACAAAGGTGGGATGTCCCTGCTTCGTTTTCGGGTTTAGTTTCGAATTGGATGGATGGATGGGTGGATGGATGGATGGACGGATGGATGAATGGATGGGGATGGCTGGATCTGGGTGGATGGATGGATGGATGGATGGATGGATGGATGGGTGTGGATGCCTTGCATGGGCAAAAGATGCACAAGTTGAGTGTTCGGCTTGGGCTGCGCCTGGCAAGCGTCACATCACATACCGGACGCCCTCATAGCCAGCCCGCTCAGACAGCAGCTCCCGACACGTATTACTGTTTGCTGCTCGGAGCTCGTCGGAGTCTATAGGAAAAATAACAGCGCCAACCATCCCATGGGAAAGCAGCCACTCGAAGGCGCTGGATCCCCGAGAAAGAAGAATGTCAAGGAGAGCGCCAACCTCAATAGAAAGGCGCGTGCCTCAGTTCAGGTGACGCAGAAGGTTTTGCACTGACCAGTCTGATGTGAGCCTTGGTTGAGTTCGATTCTTGTTTGTTTTACAATTCACTTAGAAAACATTTTGTCAACCTGTTGAATTGGAATTGTGGGAGTTTTTGTGCTCTGATTCCAATTTGATTCATTAAATGTGTTGTTTAAACTTGCGCACCTTAATAGACAGAAGATCTGGCGTTGATGGGTATTTGTTCTGTGATGGTGGCCGCAACAGCCTTCACGGGAACTTCACTAACACCCTCAAATCAGTGGGCGGGCTGAAATCGAAGCCGATGCACATTGTCTACTCAGAGCAAAGCTGCTTGGACTGACTGTGCAACCTACC